AAATAAATACCACATTTTTTTTCATTAAGTTAAGATCCTAGATTTTAAGACATAATCCTAAATTTTAGTTCCTATGTATGTGGAGGGTCATGAGACAAGAAAGGAGACTGTGAAGGGAAAATGAGAATTAAAGGGATGTTGGGGAAGGGGAGAGGGATGCTAGCATACATACCACATAAAAGCAGAGTGGAGTTCTTAGGGAAGGAGGGAAATATGCTAATTTTTAAGAAGCAGATTCACACCCTCTACAAATTCTTGGGAAAACAAATACACCCAGGGCTTCCACCACCACACCCTTGGGACCTCCTTGTTAGATTCTTTGGGTCTGTGGATGATAGCACAGTTATCCTGTACTTTATGGCTAATATCTACTTACAACTGAGTATATACCATGTTTGTTTTTCTGGGTCTGGGTTACCTCACTCAGGGTAATCTTTTCTAGTTCTAGCCATTTGCCTGCAAATTTCATGATGTCACTGTTTGTAATAGCTGAGTAGTATTCCTTTGTGTAAATGTATATTTTATTTATCCATTCTTCAGTTGAGCGACATTTAGGTTGTTTCCAGTTTCTGACCATTATGAATAAAGTTGCTATGCACATAATTGAGAAAGTGTCCTTGTGGTGTGATGGAGCATCTTTTGGGTATATGCCCCGACATGGTATATCTGATTCTTGAGATAGAACTATTTTCTATTTTCTGAGAAACCATCGGAAAAAAAAAATTATTTTCAAAGTGGTTGTACAAGTTTGCACTCCCACCAGCAGTGGAGAAGGGTTCCTCTTGCTCCACATCCTTGCCAACATGTGCTGTCACTTGAGTTTTTTATCTTAGCCATTCTGACAGGTATAAGATGGAATCTCAGAGTCATTTTGATTTGCATTTCCCTGATGACTAAGGATGTTGAGCATTTCTTTAAGTGCTTCTCAGCCATTAGAGATTCCTCTGTTGAAATTTCTCTGTTTAGCTCTATTATTTTTTTAGTTGGGTTATTTGGTTTATTGATGTTTAGCTTCTTTTCTTCTTTCTATCTTTTGGATATCAGCCCTCTGTAAGATGTAGGGTTGGTAAAAAACTTTTCCCATTTTGTAGGCTGTCGTTTTGTCCTTCTAATGGTGTCCTTTGCCTTACAGACACTTCTTAGTTTCATGAGGACTCATTTATTATTTGTAGATCTTAGAGCCTGAGCTGTTGGTGTTCTGTTCAGGAAGTTGTCTCCTGTGCCAATGTATCCAAAGCTATTCCCCACTTTTTCTTCTATCATATTTAGTATATCTGGTTTTATGTTGAGGTCTTTGATTCCCTTAAACTTGAGTTTTGTGCTGAGTGATAGATATAATATATTTGCATTCTCCTAAGGTCAGACATCAGTTAGACCCCCACCATTTGTTGAAGAAATTTTCTGTTTTTCATTGCATAATTTTGGCTTCTTTGTCAAAGATCAAGTGTCCAGAGGTGTCTGGGTTTATTTCTTGATCTTGTATCCAATGCTATTGATCAACCTGTCTGTTTTTATGCCAATACCATGTGGTTTTTAATACTATTTCTCTATAGGACATATTGAGATCAGAGAGGGTGATACCTCCAGAAGTCCTTTAATTGTACAGGATTGTCTTAGCATCCTGGGTTTCTTGTTTTTTCAAATGAAGGTGAGAACTCTCTGGATAGAATTATTTTGGAATTTCGATGAGTACAACTTTCAGTTTCTTTACTTCCTGTGAGCTCCTCACCCTGTGAGGAAACTACACAGGTTATAGAGAGTGGCTTAGCAGTAAGTGAAACTGCTAACCCAGACTTCATGGTGGGCAATTAGATGATACACTGAGAGGCAACTTTCCTCACCTCCTGGACATTCGAAAAGAAGTATTACCTTCAAAGAAATGTCTTTGCTTGCTATCTGAAAATGCAGAGAGCATTTCTCTTGTCCCAGGCTAACCTTGCCAAGGATGTTTGCATTTAGTAAGGATAATCTGGATCCAAGTCATCTAGAAAAACATGGAGAAAGCAGGCTAATTCCCACTCTGCCCTGGAAATGTCTTTTTTGTTGCTTTTCCTGGTTCCTCTACCTCCCTTCTCGAGTTAGGCAGGCAAGGTGCCACACAAAGGGACCTTCCTGAGACAGAGGTTGTTCTCTGGTAGGCCCTTCCTCCAGCTCCTGCTCAGAGACAACACATGTGGTCCCCATCACATCCTTACTCCCCTGGAAGCATGGGAAAACTTCCCATGCTTGTTCCATTGACTGTTCCTGGCCTCTGCCTCTTGGTCCTTGTTATTTGATACCCTTTTTCTCACTTCCCACCCACTGATCCTTCCAATACTAAAGAAGCATGTCAGTCACTTCTCAGTTTGAAATACTCAAGGTAATCTTCTTTGCATTGTGTTATAATAGCCCCTGACTCCTTTTCTTCTTCTCTTAACAACTTAGATCTCTTTTCTAGAATACCCTACTGCTTTTTGTCCTCTCGTCTCAATGGGTATTTGCCCCATTCTACCATCCATGAACATTCCAGCTATCTCTTTATCAATTCCAGATCATCACATGTACTAACAAAACTGCCTTTGAGGGTTTAACTCCATAGGCAAGCAAATGCCTGGAGTCCAGATTCAGCAGATCACACCTATAATCTCTACCGCTGCCCAGATAAACTTTGCTCTTTTTGCTTCTTCAATCTGTCAGAGCACACGTCTTCCTTGGGGCTTGGGATGTAGCTCAGTTGGTAGAGTACTTACCTAGCATGCATGAAGCCCTGCGTTCGATCCCCAGGTATGATGACACTGGTTCCCAGCTCTCTAGACCTAGAGATGAATCAGAAGTTCAAGGTAATCCTCAACTACATAGATCAGTGGTTCTTGGCCATCCTTATGCTGTGACCCTTGAACACACCCTCCTATTGTGGTGACTCCCAACCATAAAATTATTTTTGTTGCTACTTCATAACTGTAATTTTGCTACTGTTGGGAACCATAATGTAAATATCTATGTTTTCCAATGGTCTTAGGCAACCCCTGTGAAAGGTTCACGACCCACAGGTTAAGAACCACCGATATATAGTGTTCATGTGGGCACTAAGGTTGTACCTTCAGGAGGGGTTTCTGGCTCCCATGGTGATGACTTTCTTTGTGGTAGATACCTTGTTGGAATATTGTTGTAGATTATTTCAGAGCTTTAGTGTGTGTGTGTGTGGAGGGGGAGGAGGGGCTCTGCCAAATCTGAAGGCAATAGCACTTCCCCTCTTCCATAAACACCAGCTTGCAAATTTCATTCTATTCCTAGAATTATTTCAATGGCTTCTAATTAGAACAAGGCACAGATATTAATTTTATTCAAAATGTCTCACAATTTCCTTCCTACGCATGGGACAGCTCAGTATTAAGAACATGGACTACAAGGCTCTACCATTTAGGACCTCTGTGATCTGAGGTTAGGTTCTTATATGCTGTGCTTCAGCTTCTCTTTTGAACTGGGGTCAATCATGATAAAATTTACAGGGTTCATGGACTATCAGGTGTGTTAAGATATATAAAGATTTTTTTAGGCTGTCTGTATGTTAGGAGTCTTTGTTAGTTGCACCTCAAACTCTGATCAGTTTTTAGTGCCCCAGACAAATTGTGGCCACTACTTTCTGCCTACACAGATTGGCTTTTCTTTCCCCTTCGTCAGTCTGCTAAACTCCCCTTCATTATTCCAAACTCAGAACAACTGCCTCCACTTCCCCACAGACTTCCTCAAGGCCCGGAGACCAGTCATGTGCCACTCAGTGATCCTGTGGCACATGTCATTTTCATTAATTTTGTTTTAAAACCTGAGCTCCTTTGTTTGAGCACTTACATATGTCAAGCCCTGTTCTAAAGGCATCCATGTATTCTCTTAATTATACCTTGCCATAAATATAGAACATTTTAATAAGTGGCAAGTGACATATGTTGTTATTCCTTATACACTGTGAGGTTTTTTTTTTTGTTTTTTTTTTGTTTTTTTTTTTTTTTATGGGAGACTCTGCAATCCATACCCTGATCATCTTTGACTCTTCAGCTCACAGCAAGGTGCCCTGTGCATTGTGGGTATGTGATTATGTTAGAATCTTTTCATTGACCCAATTAGAAATGGCTAGAATTAAGAGAGAGAGACAGAGACAGAGAAGCATGCACAAACTACTGACATTGAGGGACTTTTCAGGAGGATGGATGACGGCTGGATCTGAAACCATCAGTGCTATAAACAGAGCCTGCAATAGCCACCATTAAATCCTTATTACTATATGAACATTTTCCATAGTGCTCACAGGTTAATGTGCTCTCATTTGATTCTCTACTGTCGTATAATCTCAGGTCTTTCCAAGGACATAATAATACAATTCATGATGACATTTTATTTTGTGCTCTTGCTTCGGGGGTCATATGCAAGGTTCTGGGGAATTTCAAAGGCCTTACCTCATGGGGTGCCTGCTTTTGGTGAAGGGTAAAGAGAAACTTACCCTGGTGACCTTTTCTTCTCATTGAACAGCAAATGCAAATTGCCACAGATTTAGAGAATTATAATCAGGAATTAATGTTGTCGTTCCTATAATGATGGTCTAAGACCATAAACACAGGGGTTGCTAAATTGTTACAGAATACACTTTCAGTAAATTGAATCCATGTGGAAAAAAAAGTCAGAGACAAATATTTTAACTTTAGCTGACATTTCTTCTCTACCTTTGAGCATCATAACCTTTGACTCAGAGGATGATTAATATCAAAACTGTTAGAGTATCTCGGGATGACCTTGAAGCCAATTTTAGTGGAGGGAAAGCAACAGCCAATCATATCAGGGATCCCAAAGCATGCCAATGGAAAATGGATCCACTACAAACTCAAATATGGGGACACAAGCAAATTCCAAACCCCACCAATTTAGCTTGATCTATTCAAGTGATCAAAGCGCATAATTGAGGTCTCTTTTTGGTTCCTTGGAACTTGGGGTGTTATGAGAAGTGTAACCATTCAGGGCTGTCTCCTTAGGAACTACCACTGCTGGAATGAGGCTTGGATGACGAGGCCTGATCTTCCTGTTGGATTTGGAGGCTGGCAAGTTGTGGACAGCACACCCCAGGAAAACAGTGATGGTAAGCCTGACACTTTCCTATTCACTTTATTGCTCACCTCCCTCGGTGTGTGGGTAGCATGCTCATTACAAATCAACACGAGAAATGTGCTTGCTGGGCAAGAATACAGGATTAACTGTCTGTCAATCAAGTTTCAATTCATTTCAATAGTCAGCTTTACCCTGATTGTTTTACAACTTTTGGAAAAAAATAACATAACTTATATAATTCATCTACTCTTGCTTTGATAAGCAGTTTTGAAGACAAGGGTGAAAAAAATATCTGGGTAAGCATTTTTACTAGGGTTATAAAATACACTTCAACCCTCCCTGATTCACAATGATGAGGTGGTAAAAGGCTAGAGAGAAAATAAAGACATTGAAAATAATTATAAATCACCCATTAAATTGTTGTTCTTCCAAAGCTTGCTGTCCCCTTATGTTCAGAGGTCTCTTTCAAAACTTGAGTGGGCAGGTATTTGTCTTCTAACTTTCCAGCCCTGATGATCAGGAGCAGCTGTGACCAGCCCCAGATTCTTATAGAAGCACACTCTTTTTAACACGATGATAGACACCGGTGGACTGCAGACCCCATGCACATTCACCATTTTTCCTTGGTGTTGCTCTGAGGTGGTGATGGCATACATCTTCATAGATATAGAATCATTCAGTCCACAGTCATGATACGGTCATGCTGGGATACTGGATTTTATGGAGAAAGCCTCATGCTCTCAAGACTTTGCAGTACAAGGAGACTATAAAGCAACTAATAGCGGCTAATTTCTTAGGCAGTATAGCTAGATGGCTAAAGGCTCCTGGACTTTAGAAAGGTAAACATGAGTGTGCTGGATTGTTAAACTGGGATTATTGGCTAATGGGCATGGTTAGTGTCCATTAGTCTGTCATAATCGAACCTGACAAACATCCTCAGCAAAACAACAGTCAAAGTGAGAGCAATACAAATTCTGTGGCTGTATCAGGCACACTTCTAGTCAGATTTCTGCTGCTATGCTAAACACTGTGACCAAAAGAAACTTGGGGAAGAAAAGATTTATTCCAGATCACACTTACAGTTCATCATGAAGGGAAGCCAGGGGAGGTGCTTGAGGTAGCTTGCTCAGTCTGCTTTCTTACACAACCCAGAACCATCTGCCCAGGGATGGTACCACCTATAGTGGACTCAGAGCTCTGACATCAATCAAGAAAATTGCCCCCACAGACTTGCCCACAGATCAGCCGGTTGAAGGCATTTTCTCAATTGAGGTTTCCCTCCCAGTAAATGACTCTAGCTTGTGCCAAGTTCACAAAAAAAGACTAACCAGCATAGGTGCCAGGTTTAAAAGAAGACAGACAGCTTAGTGAGTGGATCTGTAGTCAGCAGAACAGAATTAAGAATTCTGTTAACCTCATATTCTTTCCCTTCAGCCTAGTGATTGAGTTGGTCTTCCTAAGCTATACTCTTTTGATTTATACACATTGGTCATCTGTCTCCTGGAGCCAATGAGAGCATTTAGGCAAAGTTGGTGGTGAAGCTGAGGAACATGAGCCCCTGTAGACCTGCTCAGTGCTGTGTGCAGCCCTTTGGATGGAAACAACAATTGGAAACAAGCTTCACAACACCTTCTTCTTTGTTTTCACTACAGGCATGTACCGCTGTGGCCCTGCCTCCGTTCAAGCCATTAAGCATGGCCACGTCTGCTTCCAGTTTGATGCCCCATTTGTTTTTGCAGAGGTAAGTGGAAAGCTGGAGGAAAGTGTCATTTTCCACCACCATCTCTTAGCACATTAAAGAGTTAGACACCAGGTTGCTACTTCCCGATTTCCCAGGTACATGGTGCCACTCTTCCTGTCAACCAGACATCCTTCCAGCCTCAGGTTCTTAATGCTAAATGCAGTTTCTACTTAACACTTCCCTGCCTTGAAGTTTTGAGGTTGTTTTTCTACTAAAGGCAAGAACTTTGCAAACCAGAGTTTCATGCTGGGTTTGTAGGCACCGGCATTGATAGTTCTGAAGGCATGAAGTGATGAGCTGAATCATTCAACTAAAACTTGGTTAAAAACAACAACAACAAAGGTGGTCTACTCCCATCTAAGACTGGCCCAGCAGTACCATAAATCAACACACACACACACCACCACCACCACCACCACCACCACTGCCAGCAGCCAGGCAGGCAGGCAGGCAGGCAGCAGCAGCAGCCAAAAAGAGAAGGAAAAGTATAAGGCACAACTCAAGTGGAAAAATTCAGGCCACTTAATGGGTTGATAAAGATATTAAGTGAAGGGACTAAGATTCCAGAACAACAGGGCAGGAGTTAGGAGAGGAAACAGCTAAGTAAATCAATGTGAGAGACATCAAGTAAAAAGAGAAGACTGGGAGTCTCTTGGTTGGGGGGAGGTGTTTGAAGGCTGAGACGCAGGATTCCCTTGAGGTATTTTTTACAGTAAGCAACTCTGGAATGGTACCTCTCCTGTATCCAGCTCTTGCTGTGCAATCACTTTGCCTTTCGTTTGGTGCACATAGTAACCCTTTTAAAGTGAGTATCTCAAGTTTTCCCCATCCAACAGAAAAGAAAATCAAGGCAATGAATGGCAGAGTGCCTAATATCCTTTCCCTAACGATCTAGCTAATAAAGAGGAATGCTAAATTCTGAAAACAGGTGGGCATCTGAGTTCTGCCAGCCATTCTGGAAAGAACATGATTTAGTTTAGCTCCCATCAGGAGAGGCTATGGGGAGCTCAGAGGCCCAGGTCCTTGGGATGTATAAGCCTCAGGTGGGAATGTTTCAGTACGTTCATCCACACAGCAGAAGTGAAATGTGAAAATACAAAGAACACAGGTAGCTACTGTATGAGCAATAAAGTCAAGATAAAATTGCATTTACACATGGAGATGTATTCATTGAGAAAGTGGAGCCAGGAACTGAAGGACAGGAAGTGATCTAGCAGCCAAGATTCCCTGTGTAAATACAAAAGACCCATGATGGCTCCATTTATAATCTTTTAACTTTGTAATGGTACGAAGAAATGGTACAACTTCGATAAACACCACACTTTGGATTTTGAATTTGGATCTCTTCCTCGGTTAATAATACATGGTCAGATCTTGGGTGATACTGGGTGGCAGGAAGCTGCAGCTCCCAGTCATCACCAGAGCCACAGGGAAAATGTCAGACACCCCACAGTGTGCCCTGCCATTCGGCTAAGATATCCTGTAGGGAGATATATGAAATGCTTTTTCATATATATGCTTTTTCAGCTTATCAAATCTTCTATTTACAATGAGTTTAATCTAAGTATAATCTTACCAAAAGGCGAAGAGCATCTGTGTAGCCATAGTTCTAAGAGCAGAGCACAATGGGCTCACAGGGGAAGGAGCAATGATTATTCAGACAAAGGAGGTTGGAAAGAAGTCAGGAGGGACCAGTGAGATGGACCAGTGGGTAACGTGAGTTCAATATCTGGGGCCCACAGAGTAAGAACAAATTCCCACAATTTGCCCTTTGATCTCAAAGAGCACAACACAGCACACACATTAAATAAATACCTTTGAAAGAAAGAAGTTGGGGGAAAAAGGAATTTCAGGCAGAGGGGATGAGCTGAACATCCAAGTGCTACATGTGGACAGCTAACAGCCATGTAGACTTGTCAGCATACTAATGGTGTATCAGGGTGTCAAATAAAGGCAAAGGCTAAGGGAAGGCTAAAGGGGATCTTCATATCCTGAGAAAATAAGCCTTTATTCTGTAAGCTAGGGAGAGTTATTAATGCCCAGAGGTGTCAGCCAGAGCACTGACAGCCTGTGGAACATAGATTGGATGGAAGTGTCACTGAAGATAGGAGATCTACCCGAGAGCTTGGATTAATGGAGTCAGGAAGAGCTTTATGTCCCTCTAATAAAAAACCAAACAAAAACCTGGAAGCATATCTTAAGGAAAGAATGGTTTATTGGGGTCTATAATTTGAGGAGGAATGGTCCCTTGTAATGGGGAAGGTATGGCAGCTGAGGCAGGGGCATGGGTCAACTGGCTGCCTAACCTCAGGCAGTCCACTGGAAGCAGAATTGACCCGCCCTGAGCAACTCACTTTCTCCAGCTAGACAGCAGCTCCTAAGGGTTCCAAGGCTTCTCCAAACAGTGCCACCAGCTGGGAAGCAAGGGCTTAAACTCATGAATGTGTGACTCACAGTCACATTCAAAGCTATAAAAAAAATGGCGGTCACCAGGAACGGAGGGGGCAGTATTGAGAAGTATATTGGAAGCCAGTGTCAGCATTTAGACAGCAGAAATCACAGCAGTGAAATACACAGGAGGAAAACACTGTATCTGCCATTGCAGTTTCTAGACGCCTCCGGAGACCAACCTTACTGTGTCTGGAGTTTTATCCATTTGATTTCACTTTAGGATTTGAAAATTTGTACAAACCTCCCGGGCTGTCATCTGACAGTTTATGACACCCTGAGACTCTCTTAATGGGAGAGTGCTCTGAAACCCACGGAGCTTTCTTTGTATATTTTTATTGTGCTTTATTGCTGCGAAGAAGGAGAGAGGATGGCCCTCCTCACAGTGGTGAAGGGCCTAATAGCTGCTAATGCAGGCGCTTTCTGCTGTTATTAAATATAGATCAGGGCGTTAGGAATGTCATCAGGATTTGCAGATAATTGTTCCTCTCTCGCTGCTGCAGAGGCGTCTTTGTCAGGCAGGCTGTTGCTTTAGCTTGGGCTGGGCTCCAGGTCCAAGCTATTTTGTCAGAGATATATGAGCTGCCTGAAAGCATACGAGGTACCTTCTCTCAGGGGTGCTTGCTAAGACCCCACAGGGGTGATTGGGTGACTTTAGCATGAGTCTCTGTGACTCAGGTTGAAGCTGATGCTCTCTCCCTCCCTCTACCTGTGTGTCATCCTTCCTCTTCCTACCCGAAGGGTGTCGGCAGGACACTTTCCCGGCCCTGCCTCTCAGCCTGCTGGTTTCTCAGCCATTTCTCACCAGCTTCTTGACCGTCCAGCTCATTGACTAATTGTCAGTTTTTCCAACACTTTCCTTGGTCTCCAAGTAAAAATAGAATCTGAAAGGGGAGAGAGACACGGAAAACGTCCCCTTTCTTCTCTCTCACATTTTATAGAAAGGGACGGAAGGGAGCACGCTGAGCATCTACACCTGGGATTCTTTGCCTCTCCCTCCTCATGCCTCCTCCACATTGTTGAGTTCCCTCCGGTTCAAAGAGCCAGGTGCCACTTTTTTCCCCAGCCAACCATACCTAGGTACTTCTGAACAGATAAGCGGAGCGTAGAATGGGTTTAAATCTGAAGTCATCGAGTTCCCGTGTTCATCCTGCCTCAGTGGTCCTCAGTAAAGAACGGCTTCTTGGGAAGGATCATTCTCTTCTGCCTTAACTTATGTCAGTGGACTCTGCTGCCCTCTTTACACAATCTCACCTCACACGGACATACACAGGCTAATGCACACACATGTAGATGAGTCTCACACACACACACACCTCACATACCGCCTACACACACAGATACACACATACATGCATGGCATGGACAACCGTGGTCATACATATAGAATACATATAGAATACACATACATATACACCTGTGTGGGGGTATCAAGCATACATACACCACATACATTCATAAACACGCATACATGTACACACATGTGAACATACATGTACTCCTGACCTGTATGTGATTTTTTTCAGCAGCAGTGATTTTTTTTTTTGGAGCCACAGTGACTTTCCTCTCCTGAGCTCTTCCTCTGTGACTTCATACCCTCAACTCTCTATAGCAACTCTCTATAGCAACCTAAACTGCTCTCGTTTCAAGCCTATTGTCACTTTCCCAGAGTAAATGTGTCTTATAAGCATCTCCTACTTGGATCAAATACAACGTTTTCATTCATTCAAATAATTAATAAAATGCAAGAATTGTTTTTGCCTAATCTTCCTGCCCTTCTTCACCATTCTTGCCAGAAACGTCTTCAGAGGTGTGTCTGAAGTCCAGTCGCCCCCACAATCCCCAGCGTTGCCCTCTGCACCCTGCCAGGACCGACTCCATTGATGTGGCCTCCTGGCTAGTCTCACTGTTAGCTCTCATCCTTCCGTCTGTTTTCCAAAAATCAGTCAGAATCCCTCTTTCAGTTGTCAATTAAAATGAATCTTCCAATGGATTCCTACCATCTTTACATGCAAACTGAACATGAATCTTAATGAATTCTGTGTGGTCTAGCCCCTAGATTCTCTCCTACCCCATGTTTGTTCATTTTCCTATTGCTCTGCTGACCTTCTTGCTCTTCTGGAAACAAGTTTCTGTGTTGTCGTTTTTCCAAAGAAACTGCCCACCCGCATTATCTTCTCTTCTTTAGGGAAAATCAATTACATGCAGGTACATGTGTTGTTCACTTCAGATCCCTGTGGTCCCCTCTTCAAAAGGCCTTCACACACACACACGCACACGCACACACACACCAGGAATAGAAGTTTTGTGAAAGTAGGATATCCTCCATTCTCATCAGTAGGAGCAATATCTGCTGTAATGAATGAATACATACATACATACATATGTATGTACATACAAACAAACATACATACGTAATACACACATCAAACAGAGAACACTGATAAAAACAACATCTTGGATATGAGGTCTCTTGTGGTATGAGATTTTATGGGAGACAAAGAGCACGTTTAACCCTGCAGAGAGCACCCACAGAGCAGGACCAGCCTCTC